TTGCCAAAAAGCTGAGAGTAAAGCTATGGCTCAAGCAATAGCATGCACAAAAGCCTTGAGCACAAAAGCTTAGGGACAGGGCCCTGAGTTCAAGTCCCAGGACCAGCACATGAAAGAAAAGGAAAAAAAAGAAAGAAAGGGAAAGAGAGAGGAAGAAAGGAAGTAAGGAGAGAAGGAAGGAAGGAAGGAAAGAGGGAAGGAGAGAAGGAGGGAGGGAGTGAAAAAGAAGAAAGAAAGAGAAAAAAGAAAACAAAAGAAAGAGAAAATGAAAGAAAGAAAGGGAACTGATGTCACTACTGTTTCATGATAAGGGCATAAAATATTGTTGCTTTATTTTGTGGTGTGTGCTACCAGTGCTCAGCATTTCTTAGCCTTGTTATCTGGATTCTTTAATTGGTTTGAAGTTCAAAGATATAAGCAAACTGTCAGGACATCATAAAGACGTTTTGGTTGTCTCTAATGCTCTGTATGTATTTTGTTGGCTATTCCCAAATTAATGAAAGCAAAATAACTAAGAGCCTATGAATTAGGATGATTGACTATAGAAAATTGTATTTTTATGACTTCTAAATTGTCAAGGACTAGGGAGTCTCATAATGATGTAATGAGGGAAAAAGCAGAGCATGAGGGTCTTTCTCCAGCATCCTCCAGATTAGAGAAACAGAATACAGAGGTTATGCTACGTGTTCACAGTGTTGTGTGCCACAGCCAGGGCAGTACTATTGCTACAGGCTTTCTGTGTTCTGTACCCGGGATTCTTAGTGGGATCTGAAAGCAGTCATTCTGCCAGCTCCAATCTAGTTTCAGAGTAACAGCAAGATGCTCTTTCTCTTTCTGTCGTCTTACAATCCATTAGGATGTGATAAACTTTACAACCTGGGAGCTAGATAATATATAGTAGGTGCATCCTATGTAGATACTATATAACCTTTTTTTTTTTTTTCCCAGTCATGGCGATTGAACTCAGGGCCTGGGCACTGATCTTCAGCGTTTTTTGCTTAAGGCTAGCACTCATCACTTGAGCCATAGCGCCACTTCCAGCTTTTTCTGTGTATGTGGTACTGAGGAATTGAAACCAGGGCTTCATGCATGCTAGGCAAGCACTCTACTACTACTAAGCCACATTCCCAGCCCTATATAACCTTTTTTTCAAATGTTTAACTTCCTAATGTGATAAATAATGATAGACACAATCTGTTGGAACACCATGTATTTGAAGAGCTTGAGAGAGTTGTAAGACAAAAAGTTTGAGGAATCCTGGTTTAGATATTTTTTGTTTCCTCACTGTGTACTAGAAATGCATTGTTAGGAAGCAGGCTTGTTCTCATCTTCACTGGACACTCCAAGAGACAGAGGCATGGAGAAAGTAATGACTTGCCAGGGGTTCCAAGACTAGAATTCGCAAGGCCAGAATTTGGGCCTCTGTCTCAAGCTCTTAGCTCCTTCTGATTAAGTCATTAGACTCACTGTGTCTTAATGAAGCACCAGGATATTCCTGGGTCTAGACACTAGCTTCTCAAAAGAAAAGCTACTCAGAATCCAGGCCACCCATCAGGAAATATCAGAGATTTTGTTCATTTAGACAGTGTGAAACAGACCAAATGCTCATGTTTTTGTAGGCTGAGTCCAGACTCGACTGTTTATTTGATTCATTCTGATTTTGTATTATGTGAAAAATAAAACCATTGGGTTCCTATGGCAGAGATACCACCCTATACCACCATTTGTCGAGATGGGGGGGTCTCACTAACATTTTGCCTTGGCTGGCATTGAGCTGAAGTTCTCTCTATCTCAGCGCGCGCGCACACACACACACACACACACACACACATTTTATCATGCCTGGTACATGTGTCTGTTTTTTTTTATATTTTTTTTAAATTTAAAAAGTTTATTTTTCCAAACACCCTTGAGAAATTGGAATGTGAACTGAATGAACCACATGGCCAATCAGTTTGTAGCTGCTGTACTTTTTTGTTGTTGTTGTCAGTTACAGGACTTGAACTCATGGCCTGGGTGCTGTCCCTGAACCTCTTTGTGCTCAAGGCTAGCACTTTAACACTTAAGACACAGTGCCACTTCCAGTTTTTGAGTGACTAATTGGAGCTGAGTCTTTTTTTAAATATATATTTTTTATTGTAAAGATATTGTACAGAGGGGTTACAATTACATGAGTAAAATAATGAGTATATTTCCTATAGAGCATTGTTACCCTCTCCTTTGTTTTTCTCAGAGTCTTATGGGGACTTTTCTGCCCAGGCTGACTTTGAACCCCAATCCTTGGATATCAGCCCTCTGAGTAGCTAGGATTACAAGCATGAGTCATCTGTGCTTATTAAGTGTGCTGTGGATCTTCTAGTTTGCCACAGACTCAACTACCCTCTTTTATTCCCCAATAGCTCATATCCCTCATTTATTTTTACCTGTTTTGGGGAAAAAATCTCATAGATGTTTTGTCTACTGCTATATGCATTTAACTGATTAAGAACAAAGACACAGTGGACAAAAACAAGGCCAGGTCTGGTAAGGAAGGATCTCAATGACAGAGCTAGGCAGGGGGCAAGTCGCTCCCTTTCTTACTAAAGCATAAAATTCTGATTCATTAAAATATAAGGATCTGCCAGCGAATTAACATTTATTTTTAAATGTGCAGGCCTTTCTTTTTTAAGCATAATAGTGAAATAAGCACATTCCTCTTGTTGCCCTCATTTTCTGTTTATTTTAGTCATGTCTCTTATCCTCATCATTATCGAGTCTGGACCCTTTATGAAGTTTCAGGTGTCTGTGAACCTCTGGGAGCCTGTGAGATCAAAAACACTTGGAGATGGTCAGCCTAAAGTGTTTCGTTATCTGGAGTGCTTGCGCCAATTTGTGACTCTCAAATATGTATGATTGAAACGCAGTCTTCTTATCCCAGTAGTAGTAAGCACGTGTCAACATTTTACAGTGAGATTGGCATGCCGCCTCTTTTGCTTCATCCAGACTACCTTGCTTTATAAGCTGGGAATCGTCTGGTTTTCTGATTGTTCATAGTACATATTCCACGATTCGTACTGTTTAGCACATAATGCAATGAACAAATGAACAGACAAAAATGCACTAATCATGTATCATGATGATTTTCATGTTCCCAAATTTGAGGACTGAGGAAGGTATGGGTATGTCTTACGTTCTATAAAAGTGTGCCTCCAGGGGTGTGTGTTTGTGTGTGTGTGTGTGTGTGTATGTGTATGTGTGTGTGTGTCTATGTATATGTGTGTAAATGTATGTGCATATAACTGTATATGTGTCTCATGCTGTTTAGGACAGACACTCCCCTCTCCCTAATATGAGATCAGAAGGCAAGTTACAAGTGCACCCAGTTAAAAATATGGTGCCTGTTGAGAGCAGGATGCAGGGCACAGCTTGAAAGTTCAGCAGAGTGTCTTCCCCACTGAGAGACCATCTTCTTGAAGTCGGAAGTGGCAGTTTCTCGGCCATTAGGAAGGTCTCATGTGTAATATTAGCTTTTAGGCAATGTCTCCTCCGAAGGGGGCACCCGGCTCTTAACCTATTACTGAAAGAGAAATACCATTGTCTATTAATACAACTGGAACGAAAGATGAATAGTGAATTGGCCTTGATCTGACAGTGAGTTTGACTTTGATAGCTCATCCCTTAAAAAGGTTCTTTTATATTTAAGAAAAAAAGCATGACGTCAAGCCAGGGAAGGGGGTTGGTGGAATGGATATCGATATTTAAGCCCCAAATCTTAGGAAATTTAAAAAAAAAGCCCCTTGTGAGAACTTTTTTTTAACATGCATAACTAATTAGCTTAGGTTATTATAAGCAGAGCTGCTGTGACAAAGTTTCCGGCGGTGTCTCAAGATACCTTGTTCGTAGTGCCTTCTCTATGCTGCGGCTCTCGGAATTGGAATCGCAGAAAGTCAAGGGAGGACTAGTCTACAATTTCTTGTTGGATTGGGGCCACATAAAACATTGTTATGCTGGAAATGCTAGAATATAATCACTACCAGGTGAGCTGCGTTCTTATTTATCTTTGGTTTCTGAGATACAATGCTATGAATTGTCTCATGCTCCCTTTAACTGTCTCTGTAATAAGCGCTCTGGTTTCAGTAAATACAGATCTTGCTGTCTTAGTGCCGATTATTGTCTGACGCCCTCAGAGGTAGTTCAGTGCTCTGTTGTAGTCTTGAACAAAGTAAAAATTACTAGGATTTATCCCCCTTGTGTGTGGCCGTTCTTAGTTCATAAGATTACATTGTGTTTATCAAGGAAAAAGGGAGTCCAAAAAAATTTTTTTTTCTAGAAAAGCATCTAAAAGTTCATAGGAAAAGGGGGAAAAATCCTGATTGCTGATTAATAGTGATGCCTTTATAAATAAATTTATAGGAGTGTTGTGTGTTTGAAAGAAGCTGTTTCACATACAGCCAATTTTTCCCTTGAATTTGTTCAAAATTAAGAAGCTGAATAATCATGTTCAAAGGGATTCATTCACAACTCATTGATTTAACCACTGAAAAGTTTGTTTATTTTCCATAACCATTTTACAGTTGGTACTTAGGAGGGATGTAGTATAGGTATCTGCGGTGGGGTGAGGGTTAACATGAAATCATTTTGTTTGTAAAAAAGTATATGGTAAATTGAGTTTTGCATCTTCTGTCTTATGACATCTTTTCAGGTGTGTTGGGAAACTTTTTTTTTTTTGCCCTACAGAGAAGTTATAAATTTTCACTAATGAGAGATTAGAAGGGCACCAACTTTGAAAGAGATGCATAACAAATTAGCGGACAAAGTGTTACTGTCAATCCTAGACTCTGAACCTCAGTAATATCCAAGTCGTTAGCGTAGTGCCTGGTACGCAGCTGGGCTCAGTCATTGCTTCTGTTGCTGGACTTGTCAGTCGTGTGCCTTGTGGCTGAAGGAAGAGCTGTTCAAAAGTTAAAAAGAAAAAAATAGTAATAATCATGCTCTTCTTTTCCCTCTATGACTATGTTCAGGTGCAGACTCACCTGGAAAACCCCACCAAGTACCACATACAGCAAGCCCAAAGGCAGCAGGTAAAGCAGTACCTTTCTACCACTTTAGCACATAAACATGCCAACCAAGTCCTGAGCTTGCCATGTCCAAACCAGCCTGGCGATCATGTCACGCCACCAGTGCCCGGGAGCAGCGCACCCAACAGCCCCATGGCTATGCTCACACTTAACTCCAACTGTGAAAAAGAGGTAATTGATGTCTCCTCTCCTCTCCTCTTTCCTTACACTCAATAACTGTCTGTTGGGTATTCTCGCCCTTAACTATAGACTCTATTTTGTTCACCCCTTCCCCCCCCCATCACTAGCCTCTGTCTTTGATTCACCAAGTGTGGCTGTGACTTGCCAGCCTTGTGTCCCTGCCACTGGGTTATTGGATTTATTGCACATGATGGAGACTTGAGCCCGCTCTCAGCACAATGTGGAAGCAGAAAGCTTCCTCCAGTTATTTCTACTGCCATACCTGAGTGCCCTTCCCATGCTTCGTAGTTTAAGAAGCAGCAAAAATGCAGAGAGAGGAGAAGGGGAGGTGGAAAAGGAAACCGCAAAAAATAGAAAAGGTGTGGGGACAGGCGGTTTTGAAGTTCCGCTTGTTGTGAAAGACTGGAATATTATTTTTATTTCTCCCAGAGTTGAAAAAAAAAAGTAAAAGCATGGAATGTGTGCGGATGGATTTAAATGATAGAACACAGTGAGAATTGAATAGAAAAGCCAAGGTTTGGTGCTAGCTACATTCCATTTCATAATGAAATCGCTTCTGCTGCCCGTCAAATCTGCTTTGGTGCAAGGCTGGCTTGGAGACAAGACGCACATAGACCTTCAGACTCATTGTTGTAGCCGATTTAAGAGCATAAAAAATTCCTGAGAGGACAGTTGTGATTTCATGACTGCTACTTTCAAATGAGGACACGATGAGCCACATGTTAGTAGAGTTTCACCGTACTTTGAAATGTGTATGTGAATTCCTTGGTGACTCTTCTAAAAACTTTTCTCAAAAGTTGCATTCCGTTTTTCTAAAAGTTACGTTTAAGCACTGGAAGGACTAAGTCTTTTCCCCTGAGCCCAAACCAAAAGCTGATTTTTTCACTGTCATCTAGCAAGATGACTTGGTACCAGTCCATCCTTCATTTTCTGTGTCTTGGTCAGATGCTCTCTGTCTGAAAGCTTCGTCCATCGTGTTGCTCAGCCATCAGCCTCATGTGAACATGTCGTTGGGAAAGCCATCTGCAAACTCAAGTCATGGGCTGTTTCTGTTTGTGTTTTACAGGGATTTTATAAGTTTGAAGAGCAAAACAGGGCAGAGAGTGAGTGCCCAAGTATGAACACACATTCCCGCGCATCATGTATGCAGGTACTGAATGACTGGACGGCCCCCGGATGTCACACTTTATAATGAGAATCTCTATTTGTGGCTCATCACGCCTTCCTGATGACTTAAGGGTTTTTTTGTTGTTGTTGTTTTATTTTTTCCTTCTTCCCATTGATTTTTTTTTTAAGTAGGCGAAACTATGTTCAGGACTATTTTGTTCACAGTAGCTCATGATTCAATAATTACTGAGAAAATTCAGTCTACTTTTCCCAAGATGGTCTTATGTCATACAAAAGGGGAACCAAACATATAGGTTTTAATTACAAAATAAAATATAATATGTTACACTGTACACATCATCATTAATGTGTTAGGAAGATTTGTAAGGTAGCAATTTTCATAAGAATATTAGTAAATGCAAAGGGTAACTGTATGTGGCTTCTTTTTTCTTTTTTGGTCCAAAATGGACACTCGAACTCAGTACCTGATGCTTTTGTTCATAGGCTAGCAGTCTACCAACTGAGCCACATCTCTAACCCCAGACCTATATATTATTTATAAATGAAACCTCATGGTACATAAATTCTGGAACTCTATTTAAAAATATATATTGGGTATTTTACCAAATAAAAGTTCTTATTTTATTTAATGAAAACATTCTGCTGCATCAATTTACATATTTATGTGTATACACATATCTACAAAAGACAGTATAAACAAATTATTGTTCCTTCTTGAATTCTTACACATTCTATTTTACAATTTAGAAATTGACCATATTCTATAATCTTTATATTTTCCAGTATCAACTTGCACTGCCTTTGTCATAAGAGGGAATTTTTTTTTAAAATCTCATAAGTACACGAATTTTATTTTCTTCAGAGTAAGGGTAAAAATTTACAAAGAAAGATTGTTTATATTTCCCGGGCCTCTTTTCCTATTCGTCAATTCAGTTATAAAATCATAAAATCATCTGTTACAAACAGCATGAATAAACTGGTCTGCCTAGAATTGGAACCTAACAGTGTCCAACAATTATTCAAAACCTATTGCCAGTTCATCTTCAGTCATCCCTAGTTAGCACTTGTGTTAAAAATGTTTACTGTGTTCTTGACACAATTAGCAATTTATATGGTTTATCCTGGAATCAAACCAGAGTCTGGTAAGGTGACAGATATTGTTGGCTTCCATTTATAGACTGGCACACTGAAGTTCTTAAAAAGTGGGAGGCCTTGCCTTTAGTTTGGGAAATGGGGGAAACCAGGATGCCAGCCTGAGCCTGTGATGTTGGAGCCTCGCCTCCTTAACAGGAGGGCAGACAGACACAGAAGAATGCCCCACTGCAGCCTGAGAGTTCATTGTGCACCTGTGGAGCACTTTCCAGGCCAGCACAGGCACACCAACCAACTCAGATATCCCAAGTGTTTATTACAGATAAATGTTTCCACAGGCTCCTCTGCAACTGCTGCAATGCACATGTAATCGCTGTTGTTTATTACCAGAACTGGTGTTTTGGTACTTCAGCAATAACATTGATCTAGTGGGAATGGCAGCTCCAAGTCTGTAATGATAACTTAGTCCTGGTGTGCTCCGTGGGGAGCACCAGGCACACTGGCAGCAGTACAAGGAGACACTTGTTTTACCAGTTGCTGTACGATCAAGGCAGGGCCAGCCAGTGGCTTGAGAGATCCTGTACAACCAAAGCGCTGAATTAACCAACCATATCTTCCTTCTCCTAGAAGGGTATGGGGGGGAAAAAAGAAAGAGAATAGCAGTTGTCACTAAAATGAATCTTTACTGTTTAGGACAGGAAGTTCAGCATAGTGGTTGAAAATATAGGTTAAGTCACAGCTCTACCCTAAAGTCATGCATGCAGGACTTTAGACAATCCGCTTCTTGTGATCTCATAGGGACAAAGGCTATAATAATAGCATCTACGGATGGGATTACTGTTGGAGTAATTAATGTATCCTATGGAAATCCCTAAGCTCAGTGCTTGGCACCTAGTAATCACTCCAAGGCTGGCTACAAGAATTATTCACATCACCTATTAGTGGTAATGGTTTTCAACAATATCTTCACTTCTGTGGAATGAGGAGAATTTACTATTGCTTTAGGTAAAAAAGCACTAAGTAGATCAAATTATAGCTTTTTTCTTATTTCTGTCTTCTCTCCCATGGCCCGTTCCCCTACAGATGGATGATGTGATTGATGATATCATTAGCTTGGAATCAAGTTATAATGAAGAAATCCTGGGCTTGATGGATCCCGCCTTGCAGATGGCAAATACGGTATTGATGACCTTCATCTTTTCTTTTTTTTAGAGAAAAGCTTGAGATATTTCCAGTGTTCTCTTCTTTTTCCTGAACTCTTTATGTTTGTAGCTGATGAATTTATTAATAATAAAATGGAAAATTACCATAGGCTCACAAATCAGGTGAATTTGGTACTAGAAATAAAATGTTTTTCACACATTAGAAATAAATACTGCATCTCTGGAACTCTGTGATAAAGTTCTACATTCTCTGGAATCTGGTGTGTTTTTCACAAGACAGGAGACCTGCTGATTCTCCCTCATGCCTTATGCCCAACTTAGTACGCATCAGACCAGAAAGCTACTTTGCACTGTTCTGTTCATACAGGTGTATAGTTAGCCTGGACAAGTTAATACAGTTTTGAATGGAGGTGTCTCACTATCCACCAGTGTAGCGGGACAGTGTAGTCTTTGAAAGAAGCAGAATTTACTGTATTTAAGTTCAGAAGCTACTGGTCCTCTGAACTTGTGTGCTACTATGGTGCTGTTGTATATCACTTATTTCCCTATGTCATTTAGAGCCTCACTTGTATATTTCTTTTTCTTCACCCCTTTTATTTGTGTTTTCAGCCGCTATTTAAGCAAAGTTATATTAGAAATCTTCCTTAGTTTTTACAATCACTCTCTGTAAGTGTAGTTGTGGTGATTCCAATAGATAGGTTAGCACAAGATTCCATAGCTAGAACCAGGTCTGTTCTGTAGATGATCCAATCCTAGCTATGAAACCATTGTATTCTTTAATAACTAGTGTTTCAAAGCCTCAAGTTTATTGAGTTGAAGGAAGAAAAGTGTATATTTTGTGGCTTTTATGAGTATGGAATTTCTGTTTTCCAAGAAAATGAATACTTAGGATTATTGAGCTATACATGTTTAAATACTGCAGATGATAAATTTCATATTGTGTAGTTTCTTTTTATTACATTAAATGTCTCAAAAATAAAAATACTAACTTCTAATAGTAATTTCCTTAGGAACAAGATAGCCCTTATTTATTTACACTAAAATTCAGCCAAGTGAACTTCTGGGCTTACACTGTTCTTTTCTTTCCCATGTTGGTCCAGTTCTTTAAGTTATTTTCTTGAACACATGTGGGGATGGGTCTGCCCTTGAATCTCACCACTTCTGCTAGGAGACTCAGAGTTTTGTCTACTTCCCCTCCATTTAAAATCACCATCTGATTTTGGAAGAGCCACATGATCTGCCTTTTTGGTAAATCTTCTTGTGCCAAACTCTCCTAACCTTCTTTAAACCTTTGGTTGGTCTCCATAGAACACTTCACTTCCAACTTGGAGCAGCCCACCAGATGCAAACTGCTCTTGTCAGCATCCAGAATCCTGGAGTGCACATGAGCAGAACATTTGAGGAGCTCACACTAGGGTATATTTATAAATATACCCAAACATAATATATATTTACAATGCTTGGGTGCCCTAGCAGCATTAATTAGCAATGGCCTAGTCATCTGAAAAATCTTCATTAGAAGTGTGGCCTTTTTGCCCTTGATATCAAATGGGCTAAAAAGAGCTGTAGAAAGGGCATTTTATTACCAACATTGGTTGGTCAGTTGGATCCATCCTCTCTCCCTCTTTCCCTCCCTTCCTCTCTCCCTCCCTCTCTCCCTCCCTCCCTTCCTTCCTTCCTTCCTTCCTTCCTTCCCTCCCTCCCTCCCTCCCTCCCTCCCTCTTTCTCTCCTCTTCCCCTCTGCTTTCCCTTCTCACCCTCCCCTTCCCCTTTCCCCTTTTCTTTGTTTTTCTTCCTTTCTTTCTTAAAATGGTGAAAGCCTTTGAGGTTGTCTGGCTCAACCAGTACTCACCATTGTATTAACCATCTCTTCCATGTCCTTATATTCCACACAAGAGATGAGGTAGCCAACTTTTTTGAGAGCTCCAAGAAAGGATCTGCAGGAGAGGAGTGACAAAATGCAGGGGTCAGAAGTTGGAGAACAGTGAGACCTGAGTTCAAATCCAAAAACTGTCATTTATGGTGTGAATTTCCATGCTTCTTCAAGTCCTGTTTCCCCCATGTGTAAATGGAGCTATTCATTATACCCACCTCACATGTCATTTTACTTAGTGTGTGTGTGTGTGTGTGTGTGTGTGTGTGTGTGTGTGTGTGTGTGTGTAAAATATAGAACTTAACAATGGAAATCTAATTTGTACTTAACAAAATGGTTTAAATTATGCTTTACAATTTATTAGTTGTAATATCAAATAGGATTTTTTTTCCTTTTCTTTCTCTACTTGGGTTTAAACTTAGGGCCTTGAACTTGCTAGGCGTATGCTTTGACATGAGCCATGGCCCCAAGCCTTTTCTGCTTTGTTCACCTTTCTGGAAGGACCTTCCCTTTTTGTCCAGGGCCAGCTTTGGACCACACACTTCCTGCTTATGTCCTTTCAAGTGGCTAGGTCAAGAGCATGCACTATCACATTCAGCTTATTTGTTGAGATGGAGTCTCACTGACTTGTCTAGGCTGGTCTCAAATCTCAGTACTCACCAACTCTTCCTCTGGAATAGCTGGGATTACAGGTGTGAGCCACTACAGTCTTGGAGCAGTCTTAATACTATTTGTTTATTCAGCTGACATTCACCAGGCATCTGTAATATTCCAGGCTCTATGTTAGAATACATAGCTTACTAGTCAGCGTCTCTTGCTTATCATATTCCACATGACAACCCTCCTGAATACAGTCATTATGACTCTGTGCTTTTGTCCTTTTGAATGGACATGCATGTCTCCTTAGCACTGAGGGGTTGTTCTTCATTATTTGATTGCCTTGAAATATTTCAATTGATTGAACATCTATTAAATGCCTCTTAGATGAAGTGCTAGCGATTCAAAGGAAAAGCACGCCTTCTGTTCTCATGAGGTCAGGGAGATCAAGTCAGCCCATGAGATCAGAAGGTTTAATTGAGGAGGAGAAGAGGGGTCACCTCGGGAATTCCCAACTTGGGACTATCCCCTGAGGAGAGACCAGTGAATGAATTCCCAGCAAGTAAGGACTCTCTTGCAGCTAACCTTCAAAAGCCACTCACTCCATCCTGCCTTCTGCTCATCTTTTGTGCCACTGTGCTGGCAAAGGCAAAATGTCACCTAACATCTACCTTGTCTTTTGACAAAACTATTACAGCATTTTTTGCTACTCTGAATCAGACACCTGAATGCGTACTCTTGTTGTGTTTGTTGTGGAGCTGAGGAACCAATCCAGGGCCACACGCATGCTAGGCAAATGCTCTACCACTGTATTTCATCCCTTGCATGCTTATTCATTTGTGTGTGTGTATATGTGTTTGTGTATGTGTGTATATGCGTGTATGTCAGTACTGAGGCATGAACTCAGGGCTTAGGCACTGTTCTGTAGCTTTTTTGCTGAAGGCTAGTACTTTGCCAGTTGAGTTATAGCCCCACTTTTGTCTTTTTGGTGCTTTGTTGGAGAAGTCTCATAGACTTTGCCAGCTGTGGTCTTCAGATCTCAGCCTCTTGAATAGCAAAGATTACAGTGTGAACCATGGGACACCCAGGGAGTGCTTATTCTTTAGTTTGTTATTTAAGCTTTCTACCTCAGTTTCCTCATCTTTGAAGTTCAGGTAATGATCACATCTACCACAACAGAATCCATGTAAGAACTGTAACAGTTAATCCACAGCAAACATCGAGAACACTTCCAGCCCTGATAAACTCATTAAAAGTTATCAGGTCTTATTTTCGATAAGCTTGGGTTTTAGTTATCAAAAGCACATAATCAAGCTACTCTAATCTATTCACACTTTATTTTTTCCCACAGTTAAGATTTAAGTTGAATACTCTTTGACGTAGGCATTTTCCCCCGTTTTGATTCTTTGAAATGCTTTATTTCCAGTTAACTACATTAAAAAATGTGGAAAGAACACTTAGCAAGGAAAGTGTCCTCAGGGAACTGAGGTCTAGAAATAACTACTGGAAGAGCACAAGGACCCTCTTGTACGATCACAAACAAAGAATAAAAGTCCCAGTTTACTTGTGTTCACAGAGTGCAATGGATATTCAGAGAAGGGACCATCCAGGGAGAAAAATAATAACATTTTACAGTGATCATCTTCTTGGAAAAATATTCATTTTGGTGGAGTAGAACCCTCTAGAGCTCAATTTAGACCATGAGTAGGACAAAGACAAGGTACAGATACCTTCTTTTTATTATCATGGCTGTACAAGTGAAGCCCATCTGCCTGGTCAGTGCTCTAGATAAGAACTCAGCAGGTTGCCCACCAGCCATGTTAAGTCATGATTCCTCTTGGTTCTCAGTTCCACAGGTGTTAGTTTGATCTAATTGTGAGGCTGTGTTTATAGGGGAATTTTCTGACATATGAAGGGAACCGCAGGATTGTTAAGTTTTTTTCAGTTTTTAATCCTCCTTTCTTTCCATTTTGGGATCCAATTCAGAATCAAGAGTTTGAATTCTGATCTTTTCTTTTTTTAGATAGGCCAGTGGTTCATACCTATATCTAACTACTCTAGGGAGACTGAGACGGGAGGATCACAGTTCAAAGCCAGCCCAGACAGAAAAGCTTGAGACTCTTATCTCCAGCTAACTACCAAAAACAAAACAAAAGCAGAAGTAGAGCTTCAGGGACAGTACCCAGGCCCTGAGTTATATATGTATGTATGAATATGTATAATTTATATCATTTCACACATGTATTTTTCCTGTGTTAGAAACGTATATTCTTATTCTGGAGTTTAGAATTAGATTCAAAGTAGATTGGTAGAAGACTTAGAGGTTTATCTTTCAGCTAGCTATACATCTCACTTACCTAATAATTATCCCTAACAAATCACCATAACACAATTGCATGTTTGCCATCCAATTTGCATATGAAAACATGTCTATGGTTTATATTCTAGAGTTATGGGAACAACATCTTTTTAGCTTATTGTTTTGAATTTTCCAGTTATATACTTGGCTTATTCAGAAGTTTCCTGTAAATCTGAAACTCTGCAAGGAATAAAGTTTGGGGTTTGGGAGGCATCACTAAAATCATTTTCATGGCAACATTGTAAGATTTCTTTTTCTGGCCCTTTACAGCACCTGGCTATAACATGCATGTGCTTTCATTCTGTTAGAATAAAGTTGGATGAGGTTAAAACTGAATATACAGAGTAAGCAGGGTTGTCCTTGAGAAGGTGACCTATCTCAAATAGAGCCACTTAGTGAAATGACAGCTAATAATCAAAGTCACTTTTTATCAGTTTCTTAGCTGGAAGGTTCAAGGACATTTTAAATTAGCACCATGTGTCTTTACTGGCCTATATAAAGGAGATATGTGTATTATGTTTCTGTAGATACTACAGGTTCTGCCTTCAATACAGAGCCAAGGAGGGGCTAAGGGCCTGCTGTATCTACCCACCCCAGTCTAGTTAGAGCCTATAAGAAAGTCCCCCGTGTACACTTCCTTCAGCCCTACCTCTAGCTAAGAGTCTATCTAGTTCATGGAGTATTTATTTATAGGAATAGATGGAAATGGCTACCTAGAAAGGGAAACCTACCTGATCCTATTTTTATCTCATGATAGATTTCCATCTGCATGCTAACGGCCTTTTAAGAAAATGAACAGCCCTACAGGCTAGTCATCCCTAATTCAAAATCCAAAAGGTTCCAACATCCAATACTTTCAAAGTGCCAACTTTATGCCCTAAGTGGAGACTTCCACACTGACCTCATATAACAGGTCAGTCAAAAGGCAGGTGCAGGGGCTGGGAAGGTGGCTCAGTGGTAGAGCGCTTGCCTTGCATGCCTGAGGCCCTGGGTTCGATTCCTCAGCACCACATAAGCAAAAAGAAAAAAGTCGGAAATGGCGCTGTGGCTCAAGTGGTAGAGCGCTAGCCTTGAGCTGAAGAGCTGAGGGACAGCACCCAGGCCCAGAGTTCAGGCCCTACGACCGGACCCCCCGCCCAAAAAAAAAGGCAGGTGCACTTAAAATACTATAGAAAATTAACTTCAGGTTATGTGTAGAAGATGTATGAAACATGAATGGATTTCATATTTAGACTTTCATGTCATCTCCAAGATACCTCATTTTGTATACAAGTATTGCAAAAAAAAAAAAAATCTAAGCTGGGTGCAGGTGGCTCACAACTATAATCCTAGCTACTCAGGAGACTGAGATCTGAGGATTGAGGTTCAAAGCCAACCTGAGCAGGAAAGTCCTTGAGACTCTTATCTCCAATTAACCACCAGAAAACTGGAAGTGGCGCTATGGCTCAAGTGGTAGATCACTAGCCTTGAGCTGAAGAGCACAAGGTCAGCACCCAGGCTCAGAGTTCAAGCCCCATGACCAACCAAAAAAAAAAAAAATTCTAGAAAAATCCCAAATTCCCACAGCTTCCTGGATATAGTCCTAGTAAGGGACACTCAGTCTGTATAGCAAGCACAGTCTTCATTAGAAATGCTTAGCCACTAAATGTTTTTGGTCCTACCTCCCTCAGATACAAACTTTGCAGTGTGCCATCAAAGGAAGGGCTCAGTGACCCCAAATCTACTTATCCAATAATTATAGTTACAGGGATTATTTGAAGTAATATGAAAATATTGTTTGCAGTGGGGAAAAAACAAGGTCACATAACTTCATATTTAATATTCAGGATTCTCATCAAGGCCTAAGAAGAGGAAAGGCCTTACTTAGTATGTAAACTACAGGAAATGCACGTCCAACCCAGGAAATCAGTGTCAGAAAAAACAAAACAAAACAGAAATTTACCGCTTTAAAACATTTAGTTAGTTGGAGGAGGATCAATGGTTGTTTTAAGTGTAATTTTTTGGTTCTTTTATTAAAGTCTATGGGCTCCCTCTTGTGGCTTTCTGAAAAATTTCAACTTCAAGGAAATGAGCAATAAGGAAATCAGTTCTTTTCCAAAAATTAACATTTTTCATTGCCTTATTAAAGAGAAGGGAGAAGTAAGTAAAAGGAAGAAAATTGACATTGATGGGAAAGTCAATTAGGTAGGAAAGTGACACATAAGATATTATTTTATGATAATCCCCAGCATTTACTACTATTGGCTTTGTTTTGCTGGTTGTAGGAGATAATGCCCTTGACACATTATCCATTGTCTCCAATATGCAAATAACACCCCCCCCCCAGGTAGTTATTGGAGCCAGCGTGTGAGTGTGTCCTTCCCTGTCTTTAGCTAAGCTGTACAGCTACTGTCTGAGTGAATGAAAAGCAAATATTTCATGTTTGTATACTTAAAAGAAGAAAAAGCGAGGTGCTGGTGGCTCATGCTTGTAATCCTGGTTGGAGGAGGCTGACAGCTGAGGATTGAGGTATGAAGCCAGCCAGGGCAGGAAAGTCAACTACCAAGAAGCCAGAAGTGGAGCTGTGTCTCAAGTGGTAGAGCACTAACCTTGAGTAACAGAGCTCAGGGACAGCTCCCAGAACCAGCCCCTCACCCCCAAGGGTGGGGGGAAAATACCTAACACTTTTATACCACTTCCTTTCTTTCAAATGAAGCCTGGAGTAGGCTAAGTACAATGTATCTAATTACTACTTCACATAGGTAATCCAAACTAGTTGGGAGATGGAAGTAGGAAGATCTTGCTTCAAGCCATTCTGGGATGGGGTCGGGAGGGTTTAGTAAAACCCTATTAAGCTTGCCACCATGGTTCTATTGGGAAGTATGAGACTGGCCCAACCAAGAGCACAAAAACACTTCTCTGAAAAATATCTAAAGCAAAAAGGATTGTGTACATGCTCAAGTGGTAGGGTATTTGCCTAACAAACACAAAATCCTGAGCTTAAAACTTCTGAAGGGTGGGGTGAGAGAGGGGGGTGGCTGCCCGGAATCTGGGAGAGGATGTGGGTTTGATCTGAAAACCTTGGGAAATTTTCAGCAATTCACTGCTGTTCTTTTTTGTTGTTGTTAGTTACCGGTCTCCGGAAACTTGATGGACCTTTACAGCAACCAAGGCTTGCCACCGCCAGGCCTTACCATCAGCAACTCCTGTCCAGCCAACCTTCCCAACATTAAAAGGGAGCTCACAGGTCCGTAAACAAACATGCTTCTTACTGTAATATTCTGTATATTATAATCCTTGTTAGGCAGAGTTAGTGTGATAGTAATGTATGTAGCCAACTCCTGGATCTCCTTTCTTCCATCTCTAGTTATAGAAACACTGTGTGATATTTTAAGATGGAGAATTTATATTTGAAAATCCTGGTTGCCAGTATTTCCTGAGATCCTGGCGATCATGACCATCATTTCCAGATGGCATTGGTCACCATGTCTGTGACCGCCGATCCCATTTGGGTGACAGTGGAAGGCAGCACATCGTCTTTACATTTCTCCACCAACCTGGTGTTTATATTACTTTTGAATTTCCCTTAAGGGAAATTCACTTAAGGCCATCGTTACGTAAGGTTGGGCTACATTTCTTACATATTCATATGCCTCCTGTTGCTTTTACTAAATCACTATAAACAAGCAAAAAAATAAATTATGAAATGGAGCGAACACAGTTTTTTTCTTGACACATGTGCAGTCAGCTGTTTTGTCACCTTATTTAATGTTTTAGAAGAGGCATTTGACCATTGAAACGTGACAAACAACAACTGTGTTAGAGCGACCATTCTCCCTGTTTAGGAATTCTCCCCTGGCAAGTTTTAGGGATCTTGCCCCACAGATCCTTGCCTCTTGTAGAGGTAGGGAAATGGGCTGAGAATGTGGCATATGGATTTGGTGCAAAACAACTGTTTCCAAGAGTTATTTCAGAAAATAGTGGTAGAAGAAAAACATATTTTTTTTGTTTTACACATTAATATATTTGGGTTAAAAGGGTAATTAGTTAAGAAGTGAAGCTATCCAAAATCAAAAGCAAGTAAGAACCTTACCAGAAAGTAAACACCTGACAACAAAACAACCCCTAAGAGTCACTGAAGAGAAGTGTGCAGAAGTGAAAACCTGTCATCCTCCTTCTATGAGAAAAGAAAAAAAAAAACAGAAATGATTTTGATTGGTCATCCCAATTAGTGAATTCAGCTTCTGTACTATATTATCTGTATATATCCACATATATGTAAATATAGTCACAAATCACTTAATGACCTGGATATGTTCTAACAGGTGCATTTTCAGATGATGTGCAAGCATTATAGCATGTGCACTTACCTAAAGAAGGCTGTAATGTCGCCAGTTGCTCACATCTGATAGGACCATTATCATGTGTTGCCTCTTGATTGACATGTCATAATGTAGAACATGAATATACATATCCATACATAATAACCTCTATATAACATATATACACACACCTCAGCCACTGTAAGTCATGCTAAAATATTTATATTTTAAGAGAAAATTGTAAATTATAGTGTGTAATCTATCAGATATCATTCTTGAAAAGAAACTCTTAGATGTTCCAAATTCAATAGAAATAGCATGTTTTGTTTATTCTTTGTAAGCAAAAATTAATCTCTCAGCACAGAGATCTCACCAGAGTTGGTTTGCAAGATACAACTTTCCAAATAGATTTACTACCAAGTGTCTCTGGCCTCTGGCCCTGTTTTTGTATACACATACTAGTAAAAAGTTAAGTGAGGTTCTCCTAGCATATTCTTTGGAACCTAACTACACATTCTGAGAAAATGAGTTCTGTTCCATGAACAATTGGAGGACCTGCTAACTCCAGCATGGGAGCTTTTACTCAGTTTTTATGTCAAGGCGTTGTTACAATGGCATCAGAAATCACTGAAAAATTATTTGGCCTGAAAAGCAAATTTGATTTCTGGTAGTAGAATATCAACCATAAATATCTGTACCTTTGTTATTTATTTTATTCTTTATAGCACTGGAATGTGTTAGAAGTGCTCTGTGAATCTTTGTCATTGGTAGTTCACATTTGTGAAAGCTTGAGTTTTTACATATATTTGGTATGTGTGGCTTTTGAAAAAGTATAAGTTTTTAAAGATATCATTTAGAAAATTGTATTTCTTTCCAGATAGGGTAATACTGTATGCTGACATATACAGAAATACCACAGTGAGCCTCCTCCCATCAACTAATACATGTTAACAAAAGTCTTAATGTGCCAGGTGCTGGTGGCTCACTACCTGTAAATCCTAACTACTCAGGAGGCTGAGATCTGAGGATCACAATTCAAGTCCAACCTGGGCAGGAAAGTCTCTGAGACTCTTTCATCTCCAGTTAGTCACACAAAAGAAACCAAAAGTGGTGCTGTGTCTCAAGTTATAGAGTGCTAGCCTTGAGCAAAAGGAACGCAAAGATTGCCCCCAGGCCCAGAGTTCAAGACCCAGGAGTGGCAAAAAAATAAATAAAAAGACGAAAAATAAAGTGTCTAAAATGGTATTTTTTTCTGTGTGTTGGTGGCTTGTGCCTGTAATCCTGGCTGCATAGGTGGCTGAGATCTTAGGATTACTGTTCGAAGTCAGCCTGGGAGAGAAGTCTATAAGACTCTTATCTTCAGTTAACCACAAAAAGCTAGGAGTAGGGCTGTGGCTCAAATGGTAGAATGCTAGCCTTGAGCACAAAGAACAGCACAGGCCCTGCGTTTCAAGCTCCAAAACAAACAAAAATGAAATTTAAAAAAAAACACAAAAAGCTATGCTTTAGAATTCAGTCAGCTTAGCATCTGTATATGTAGCTGAGTTGTTTAGCTAACATTGTTGTGTCTGTCCAATAAACAGTTTCAATTTCTAATTCCTTCATTCACGTGCACAGCGTGTATTTTCCCTACAGAATCGGAAGCAAGAGCATTGGCTAAAGAGAGGCAAAAAAAGGACAATCACAACTTGAGTAAGTCGGTTTTGCTTATGTCCCCTGTGACATTTGATCTTCATAGACCAAAACATTTTCCAGAAATCCATCTTGGTAATCATTAAAGGTACCTTCTAAGGAAGAAAAAAATTTTTTTTCCAGAGAAAATAAAAAACATGGTATATATTTTATTTCTGATCAGAATGAATTTTGTGTATAGACTTATTTTCTCTGGAGAGTTCCTATTTCTTTCATTTGTTTATAGAAGGGGATTTTTGTTTTTGAGGAGATTTGATCCTCAACTACACAATTATAAATGCTTTTCCCACTGATACTGATAAACAGGGATTACGGCATCTCCTCCTCCCGTGAGATTCAGAAGAGAAAAGAAGCAGCTCAGAAGGGGACTGTCTTTATCTTGTCTGAAGAAAATCTGATAGCATCGAAGATACTTTGTTGAATTTACTCAATGAAATCTTCAAGCTCTTCCTATAAGAACTTAAGTTCATGTTTAATATCCTCAGGGAGGTGGGTGCAGTGAAAATGACTGGGCGTGGAGGCAGGAGCTAGTTTGCACGTGAATCTCTCACCTTCCAGTCTCAAGTCATTGTTTTCTAAATTGTAAAATCTGAGTCCTATATAAACACTTTTCTCCTGACACAACAGGATAGAAAAGGGAAGATTTTTGAGCCCCAGGAATGACTGTGGTTTGTTTCAGTTTGATGTGTCTTTCCATAGCCTTTTTTCTGTGCACTTAATAGACATCCATACAATACATGTGCACACAATGAAAAGCACTGTTGTATGTGAGCACAAAACATCAGCGTTGTACCATCTATATATTGTTACCACCTGACTTAAAAAAAAATGAACATTGTGTTCTGAAGACCTTTTGCTGTCAGAAACCTAAATCAGTCTTCTTTTTAAATATTATTGCATTGGCCACTTGCTAGTGGCTCATGCTATAATCTCAGCTACTCAGAGGCTAAGATCTAAGGATCATGGTTCAAAGCCAGCACAGGCAGAAAAGTCTATGAGGTTCTTATCTCCAAATAAGCACCAGGAGACTGGAAATGGAGGTGTGGCTCAAGTGGTACAGTGCCATTCTTGAGCAAAAAAAGCTAAGGGACAAGCCGCAGGCCCTGAGTTCAATCCCCAGTATTGACAAAAGTTTTTTACTTAAAAAATTTAAAAAATCCTATTGCATGGTATTACACAGTGGACTACAAGCCACTTGATAAGTCTCCTACTGCTATGTGTTTATGTTGTTTCTCCTTCTTGCTATTAAAAACATTTATGCATACCATTTTGTGTGCAGAACTGAGAAGTAGACTGGTGGGGTCCTGGAAGGTCTTAGTTTTTACTCTTACTTGTTGCAGCCCTCCCCAGTTTCTATGTCAGGTATAATAAGTTTTCTTCATCCTTTAATCAAAAGTTATAGACCACTGTCTCTAAGGTCTTCCCTAGTTTCCAAATCATTTTAAGATATTTTCTAAGATATTTTCTCTTTTAACTTAGAAATAAGATAATGAGCCATTATCTAAAACTTCATGTAAGTGAGATATGGAAAAAGAAAGTTAGATCTTGTCAAGAATGATATTTACATATAAGTAGATGCCGAAACTCTCAGAGTTGTCAGTAAATTCAAACCCAATAAGCTGCAATTCGTGGCTCTGAAACAATCATCATATCTCATCTAGCCAGTGGAAATTAATACCCAGGGTTGGATTGCCCTTTGACCCAGTTCTTTCTCTTCTAGGAATTTATCTTTTAAGAATATTTGCCCAAATTTTTTTACTTGTTCAACCATTCATTCAACCATTACTGTTGATCCACGCCCAGTTTTGTATGGGAACTTTTCTACACAAGTGAACCAGTCAACGTGTTTTCCACACCACATTCAAGTCAGGAGTTTTTCTACCAGATACTACTCAGGGGAGGAGCCTGTGGTGGAGTTGTTTGTGTATATGCTGTGCTAGTGCAGGTGTGTTTATGTGGATGCATGGACAAAGATCTAGAATTCACCTTTAATGGTGATGGGCACAAGTTGTACCTACAAGTTGTATAGTTCACTTTCAACCTAGTGTCTAGTTAGTACCAATTTGATACTTTTAACAAAAAGTTTACAAGCTTCCTGTTGCCTTTATAATAAATATTTAGCAAGGAAGTTGTACACTGAAAATAGAGTATGCCACTTCTGAATGTTGACAGTGAAAGGTGACAACAATGTTGACAATGTTTCTCACTGCTAAGTGAGAAAAGACAGATGCACACTCATTTTTAGTGTAATTCCACTTCAAATGTGTTGTCCTTTTGTGCCAGGCACCTATGGTTGCTTACAATGAGATAAATATTGAAGAACACTGTAAGCAGTTTAATAAAATATGCAACTATTGGATGGTGCAAAGTTCCATGCGGATATGAAGGACAGCCTGGGAACATGGGTGTGGGGCATGTTGAGTCAGTTTTAAATAGGATGACCTGGGAACTCTCACAAGTAAATTTGAGTCCCTGTCTGGAGGACTTGAGGACAGGTGAGGATACCTTGAGGAAGTATTCCAGGCAGGGAGAAGACCATATGCAATCCTAAGATGGGGAATGTATCTGGCTCAGTTAGTGGAACAAAAGGGAAGGAACACCAGTGAGTCACCTTGGCAGAGGAGTGGAAAGTGAGATCAGAATAGTATGAGCAGTCCACTCCTTGTAGGCCATCTAGATACTTGGTTTTTCTCTAGACTAAGTTGGAAGTGCTGGGAGGGTTTTGGGTATGGGTTGGCATGCTGTGACTTACATTTTATCAAGATCCCTCTGCCTGCTGTGTTATCACCAGTCCAGAGTGGGTAGGGAGTAGTGGGCATGGAGAAAGCAGAGATGCCAGCCGGAAGTGTTAGAGTAATAATTCAGGCAAGGAATGATGGCAGTATCTCTCAGGGACTGATGGAGGTTGGAAGAAAACAGAGTCTGGAAACATTTTCAAACCAGAACATCCCATTTGATGGTAGGTGAGGGTTGTGAGAGAAAGAGAAATACAGAACGGATTCACATTCTGGCCTGAGCCACTGGAAAGATGTTGTTGCTATTAAACGAGGAAAGTTTCAATTTAGCCTCCAAACAGAATGTGATAGAAAAGATCAGAAGCTCATCTCTGGAGGATCTGGGCTGTCTGGTGGATCTCCACATAGAGATGTCCAGTGGTCAGATGTATGAGAGTTCCAGAGGAATAGCTAGACTGGAATAAATGTACAGAAGCCAAGCAAGCTATTCAAAACCGGGAGTTAGAGATTTCCAAAAACTAAAAGTAGATCAAAAAGACTTCATCCACTGTGTATGCCTACACTGAAATGTATTTTTATTTTTGAAGCATAAAAATAATCACAAGGGATATATAAGACAACAGTATCCTACATATATTCACTATATATATTTTATTATTGTTTGAATGATTATAGGCTGAGGAAAAGCAAGAAGAATGTCATGTTTTAGAGTTTTAGAGGATGTTAGCAAGTAGATTTGGAATTTAGAAATTTCTTTGTGAGCACCTTTGACTGTCACTTGTTTTTGTATTTTATAGTAGTCTAATGATAAGACATTATCTATATAACCAGCTTAATGACTGGAATACTCGGCCACGACAAACTTTGAATTTATATAGTGAAAGTTGTAAATAATATTTATCTACAAGTTTACAGTATCAGTGGGTCAAATATAGGTATATCTTAGGGTATTCAAGGTAAACCTAATTTACTAGGCCATTTGGAATTTTATTTGTTAGTTGAGCTAAGTTAGACACATTTATTATCTCATAAGTCAAACTATGTTATCCTCCAAGGAGAAAGCGATAACTTAGCTTAACATAACAGCTGGACTTGTGGGTTAGCAATTCTGCTAAGTTGCATGGTATCGTTAGAAATGTTAGATTTAAGTTCTAGGGCTTTGCTACACAGTATGGTGGCCGCAGGCCCCTTACCCCTGTTGACCCTCTGAAATGTGAGTAGTCTACATTGTGATGTGCTGACATGTAAAACAGCTGGATTTCAAAATTTAGTATAGGATAAAGAAGGTTCCCCAACTAATGTATACATTTTTGTATGCCTTCTATCAATTTACCTACTAAGCTGATAATGGTTTAGAAATAATGGGATTAATGGGGGGAGAAGGGGAGATGGGAGGTCTGGGATGGTCAGGGTAAACAAAGGAGGAGGCAACAATGCTTGATAAGAAACGTACACATTACCTTGCTCATGTAATTGTAACCCCTCTGTATGATATTTTCACAATAAAACAACTTAATAATCATTTAAAAAAATTTCAGGAGATGGAGGACAATGTAAAAACCTCCCAATGACTAACAGTGGACTGGTTTTAAGGTTAGAGTTAGATGGAATAAAAAGATACCAAAAATTAATATAACCTAGAAGAAAATCGACACTTTGAAAACTCTGAAATGTTAACACTTGTCATTAAATGCACTTTAAGATATTAAAAAATAAAATAATATTAATATTACCTCTTTTACCATTTTAAGAGGGCCACTAGGGTATTTAAAAATTACATATGTAACGTTGTCTTGTGTTTCTTTTAAGCAGTAGTGAACACAACAAGGGTTTTTTGTGTTTTTTAATCTCATGAGCCAAGACACTTTTATATGTTTTTGAGCAGTTAAAAAGAAATCAAAAGAATAATGTTTGCTGACATGTGAAAGTTGTATAAAATTCACACTCAGCGTCATAAAGAACCCTTATGATTTTCATCAGTGCATTTGCATTATAGAAGATATACTCAGTTGATGTTATTTTGAATTTCGTCAGCAAAAATTGGTGGAAATTTGTTTTCTCTCTTGTTATTAGTACAGTATGCATAATCCTTAGTTTTGGAGCTTTGCCTCCAAGCAAGAAGAGCTCACTCTCTGAGCTTCTGCATCAAGTTTGCTAAGCTCTGCTATTCTCTAGTGTTAAGTTTGAGTTCTGTTAATTCTCTAATTGCTAATGATTGTTTTATCATTTATACTTGAGGTCCCTGGGTTGTTATAGCATCAGGTGAGAAATCATGTATCTAAGGGCTTTGTAAATGCTGCAGTCCTATACAAAGGTAGCTCTTGTTTTTTTTGTTTTTTGGGTTTTTTTTGTTTTTTTTTCTTTGTGCATTAGCCACAATGTAAAGAAAAAAAAATGCTAAGGACAAGGGAAACTAGGTTGAAGTTTACATTGTCCTGACCTGGTGAAGTTAATGTGAACATACCTTTAATGAGATGTGCTAAATGCATACGTGGTACTGTTACTAATAGACCTTTCCTGTGCTCTTTTCCTGAAGTTGAACGAAGAAGAAGATTTAACATAAATGACCGCATTAAAGAACTAGGTACTTTGATTCCCAAGTCAAATGATCCGTGAGTACTATTGCATGTTAATCCATCCCATATATTTTTCAGACCTTTGTATTTCCCCAGTTGTTGAAAAATATAGTATTAACAAAAATTGAAAAAGTCCCTGCCCCCTTTTCCTTTGGTTTTTGAAATACTACTTACATCTTTCTTTGCATTAATTTCACCAAAGTAAATTTTAAGACTTTATACTGAGGAGACTGATTGGCTTTGAGTATAAGGAACTGGTCTTTCTGAAATTCAAGAATCTTTAGAAAATGAATTCCACTGGAAAAAATTCTCTTAAAAACTGTTGAATTCTCAATAACTATTAAAACAATTTGTAGATAGTGTGCTCTTATGCTTATTTCAGTATCTCTAAATAGGCACTGATGAGCAGAAACTGAAAACTTTTATTTTTATTTATTTATTTTTTTGGGGGGTCCGGTTGTGGGGCCTGAACTCTGGGCCTGGGCACTGTCCCTCAGCTCTTCAGCTCAAGGCTAGCACTCTACTACTTGAGCCACAGTGCCATTTCCGGCTTTTTTCTTTTTGCTTATGTGGTGCTGAGGAATTGAACCCAGGGCCTCAGGCATGCAAGGCTCTACCACTGAGCCACCTTCCCAGCCCCTGAAAACTTTTAAATTCAACAATATTCAAAAAAGACAAAAGGTCAAATTTTTAAAAAATAAAATTTTGCGTACTCTTTGTATGTTTTAACAATCTGGAAAAATAAAAGAATAAAATTTAATTTAATTTATTAAGTACAAGTCAGCTACTTGGAGTTTCAGCCTTTCATTTCTCTCTACCTCCCCTCTCAGAGATAATGGCAATAAGATAATTTTCTCAAGTCTTCCGTACCACCTTAAAACTACTTGCATCGTCAGCAAATAGCACAACAAATATACAATTTTTATCCATTAGAATTTGGCCCATTTGAAGTAGGGGGCTAAGACGATATATGTATTTTAATGGCCCCCACAGGCATTTTCTGAAATTAGCCTGTGAATATGACCTTTAAGCTCCTAATAAAAGGTAAAGATGAAATCAAGCATTATTCATGCAAGGCTTATTAAATTTGCTATTCCCATTATTGTCAGGGAATTTGTAACAAAATAAAATAAAACCATTACCTATTGTGAAGTGATTTGATGAATGTGCCAGCACAATTTTCATCTTCAACATTTGGCTTTCCTAGGTTTCAAGGAAAGGCATTTTCCAACTGAAAACACTGAAATTCTCAGTTCTGCAGCACAAATTTATCCTACTAAAGGGCCGTGACCTTCATTTCCTATGGCCAGTCTTGCATGATAGTTGAAATTGAATTCCCATTTTCCTGTTCTTTATCAGCTTCCACTTTTTAGCATATTCTTTTAACCGGTGGCCTGTGATTCTCTTTGGTAACATATTATAAAATTATGGGGCTGCAGAGAAAGCCAGTATTTGCATATCTTCTTTCCTCATTGTATGAGATTACTTAGGTGTTTATAATCTGAACTGATAATGATCTCCCTGTGGAGGCCTTGTTCTAAGATGAAACTGTATAATCTGGATGGTCGTTTTCCCACACTGGGATTCCAGAATGTGCCTTTTGTGAGGGCCCATTCTGTCTGATTCCTGTCCCACAGCAAGTATGCTTTAGTTAATTTCATATATGGGAGACCTCTATATACTTCTGTATGACAAAAACAGTTTCTCTTTCCTTAAGCCCAGAATTGTGACTTACTAGGTCTCTCACATAGAGGTTAAACTCTAAGATAACCAAACCTTAAAATCCAAATGGCTACTTGGCTTAGAAGTTCTAATTGTAGTTTTTCCAATTCTAGTGGCCTAGGCAAAGCATTGTTCATTATAAATATGTTTCTCTCTGGCTGCTGAAGTTTTCGTTACTTTGAATTTAGCCCTGAATGTTAGGTTTCTGTACATACGCTGGATAGCTCAGGACACCTCCCTCACTTGCCATCTTGGTGCTCAGACCCCAGGGACTCATACTAGGAATTCTCTGGGGGATTGACGTTGTCCTCCTGGGGGAACTTAGGTTTTGTTCTAGGATAACCCATGTGAGGACCTGTTAGTAGGTGACTTATTTCAATGGTCCACGGTTCTATGACACCACTGATCTGCTTTTAGCAGTTGTAGGTGACAAGCTCAATGATTCTCCATACATCAGATGGTTTTGGTCATTATGTTATCATCATCTTCATCATCATCACAAAGGGTATTGTCTGTAAAAGAGCTCATATTAATTCCAAGCAGTATAGAAATATACATAAATATAATTTTTTTGGGGGGAGTGCTCTAAAAATTTTTAAAGAGCTGTCACTTACATTTTCATGGGGGGAGGTCTTAGCTTTCTTACATATAGCACATAGCAGCACTTACTGATTAAGAACTGAGAAGCACAAAGCTCTGGCTAGCTAGATGACAACTCTCTTACAACATAGCTGAAGGTACTTAGTTCCTAGTTAGTAAAAGATAATCGTATTAGTACCTACACAATGATGATGTTAGTATTACCTGAGTTATAAAACACTTCAAAGTTTATGTGGCAACTTAGTAAGTGCTGTAGATAGTTATTTTAATTTTTAATTATTGTATGGAGCATTTAACACAGTGCCTTCACAGTATATTCAGATGTCTTCTGGCTCCAATAACACATCTATGACATTGCTCATACGAGTGTGGCATCATTTTGTAGAGGCTGAAATGGATACACAGAGAGATTAGAGGCTTGGCAGTACATGCTAAACATCTCACAGTCAAGCAGTGGGATCTCACAGGACTTTTTTCTTCCATAGCTTATTCTGTCTTAAGTGAGTAAACTTTTATTGTCCTAGCAACCTTTTCCTATTTAACATAGTGTTTAGGGATACTGGTTGGTAGTCAACAGGATGGAATGTAAGTCTTGATTTTTTCCATCTTATATAAGCTTTGTGATGTGGGACAAGAGAGACTGTCTTGAGATCCCTCTTTCCCACAGCGCCCTTCCCTGCTGTTCAGGTGCTCATGTGGATCAAGTATGGGAATTTACACGCAGTGGCAGGCAGGATCTGTAAGCATTTATTGGTTAGAGCTGAAGGACTGGAATGTCTCGAATACTGACTTTTCACTATGTCTCAAATCCTCAAAAGGTCTTTCCATTTCTTTTTGTCTTTTTTTTCTTTGTCCCAGGGACATGCGCTGGAACAAGGGAACCATTTTAAAGGCATCCGTGGACTATATCCGAAAGCTGCAACGAGAACAGCAACGTGCAAAAGAACTTGAGAACCGACAGAAGAAGCTGGAACATGCCAACCGACACTTGTTGCTCAGAATACAGGTACCTGCCATGCTGTGTATTAATAATACAGTAGATTACTGACGGCAGGATGGGAGGAGGAAGAAGATAATGAGCCATAAGGGAGTTGGCGTATATAATCCTATGTAGGATACCCTTACTGTTTGGAGAGTTTGTGTTTGTGGCATTGCTTGCTTGTAAAAAAAAATGTATTGGTCGCTCCCAAATCAACACTGGTGCTACTTTCCGAAGTGGTTTGTACACAGGTGCAGAGTGACAAATTTGAGTAGCCTATTCTGCTCATTTACAGTAGAGGTCAGCAACTCTGCCTGAACATGGTGGCCTGCCCTCCTTGCAGCTGTCATTACTATAAACAAGTTATGTTTCTTACATCAGTTATTTTTATGTTTAGTTTATTTTTTGGCAACGTTAGCCTCGCACTTCCTTGGCAGGTGTACCGTCACTTAAGCCATACTTAACCCTTTTGTCCTTTAGTTATTTTTCAGATAAGGTCTTGTGCTTTTTTGGTCCAGGACCAGCCTGGAACCAAACTCCTCCTACCTGTGCTTCCTGTGTCACTAGGATGACAGTCGTGTACCAGCTTGAGATGATGTTGTTGAGATGGATTCTTACATTTGGCCTGGGGTAGCCTCAGACCATAATCCTCTAGATCTCTACCTCTGAAGTAGCTGGGACATTTTTTGTGCTTCAAATGAGATGGTTTCAAGTGTTATCTATTGTTGCTAAAGGCAAGAGGACTATGTTGTACCTTACAGAGAAAACACAGGTGCTAGATAAGCTTCAGTCAAGCATGGGTTACAATTCTATCGGCTTTGTGCTCAGTATTCATGATTCTACAGCATATGTCAAATGAAAGGTATCTTAGAACAGAAATACATATATATATATATATATATATGTATATATGCATAAACCAAAGCCATATGTTGATCAGTTGATGAAAATATTGTGACTAGGTGATCCTATTCCCTAGATCTCCCCTCCCCGACAGGGACAATGATTCTATGTTCACTAATTCAGTGTTTGCATTGACTTTGTAGAACATACTATAATGAACATTGACAATACATGTTAGATAGAAGATGTTTAGTATTCGTAGGCAATAAGGAACAGTCAAACCCATGTTTTTAGGGAAAACAGGATATAGCTATTGGAGTTAGCCATAGGTAGTGCACTTATGCCATATATACATTTCACTCTAACTGTCCACTTTGGGAGAGAAAAATATTAAATAGTGTTAATTCACCTGTTATTCCACCGGCTACTCACTACCACATACTCACCAGTATACAGAGGAGCCCTTTAGAAAATTGGCTCTTAGTACTTGGCTTCTCCTGCTGCGTTTCAGGATACAAGCACCTCTGAAGTTGTTGTCAAGGGCCGACTCTGCCATTGATCAGAGTGCCATACAAGCCTAGTTTTAGGTCACTTGCAGCCTTTGACCAACCCGTAAGAGTCAACGACCCTATCTCCTTGAATAGATGGACCTCCTTTTATAGATTTACTGTAGCACCGGGGTTGCCTCTCAAATTCTCAATGTCACTATTCACAGTTATTTAATGGAACAGCTGTACAAAGCTTGACACCTTAGACCCCATCATGGTTCTCCTAGTGGTGTTCATCCTGGATGCTGAACTTACTGAATAGAGCACTTCATTCACAATAATGGTTTCCAGGCCTCCCAGTGTTCCACAGAACTACATCTTCCATTCACAGCTGAGGCGATCCTCAGCCATGGGGCTGGAAGGTGGAAGGTGGTTCAAATGTAGGGATGCTGTTAGAATCTCAGTGATGAAGTAATGAAGAGAAGAAATCATTTCCCCACCCCCTTTTATTTTTGGCTTGTCTTGTTTGTTACAAGTTTCAGCTCTTCCATAGGTAGCCGTAGGCATTTATTTAATCTCTGGTACTTGTTATATACCTATTTGTAAATATAGTTTATGCTAATGTGTTATTTTTCTTATGCAAGTATTGGAATGTAAGAAGTAGATTTAAAAGAGAAGTTTGATTTGCTTTTAGTTCAAGTTTGCAAGCACGTACACTCCTGTGAAAGAAGAATATTGTGAAATGTGCAGACTGGAAATTCCACAGTGATGATGTCTTGGTTGTTTCTCATGACTGTGAGCTGTGCCTGCATAGTGGAGAAAACACTGGTTAATTATTAGCAGGGCTCTTAGGGGCAGTAGAGGTAGAATGCTACAGATTTACCTCTCTTGGAAATATCTGCTTTACTCAGCTGACATTTTTCAGTAAACAGCAGAGGATTAGAGTAGGTTTGTTTGTTTTTCAAAAAGACAATCTGAGTGTGTAGAGGTACTGTTGCTATTAGCTTGTTGGAGGGTCATTACAAGAGACCCTGTTGTCAGCTTGGGCCTAAGGGCTTTATTTCATTTTCAATCTAAGTGATGCATACAGAAATTGTCACAGAAGGAGCATGAAGCCCTATTATCAGAGGAACTGTCATTTTATTAAATAGCCCAGGGGTTTGAAATGATGTCTGGAGAGACTCTTTTTTCTGGAGCTTGTATAAGGGAACATGCATGACTTTCAAGGCCCCCCTCATTTCTAGGTTTGTGGGCAAAGGCTAAGAGGCCATCATGAGGACAGTTCTTCTCTAGTAAGTCCAGAGGACTTGATACATATGTATACCAGATTTTTGTATGTTATTGCATCACAAATTTGGATTGATTGACAATAAAGAGCCCCAGTGCTTCTTAGGGATCAGTTGCATCCCCATGTTTCATCGTAGGGGTATCTAGGGATACACAGAAAAGAAAAGGGGGAAGAACTTACTTTGAATGAGTGTTGAAATGAAGTCCTAAGAACCACCTGGATAATTAGAAAGTATACCCATCAGCCAGAGCTGTTACTTCAAAGTGCCACTGACTGGGTAGTTGAAACAGCAGAAAGCAGTGGGCTCATCATTCTGGACGCTGGAAGCTCTAGTCAAGGTGTCAGCGGGTTTGTTGTTTCTGAGGCCTTTGCTCAGCTGGCCAAGAACCACCTTCTCCCCCGTCTTCATGGCCTGCTCTGAGTGTGTGGCACACCTTTTCTTCTTATGACACCACTCTTGTCTTGTTGGGTTAGATCAACCAGTGCAACCTTATACTTCACCTCTTTAAGGGTGCATTCTCTCAATAAAATCACATCGCCATGTATTGGAGGCTAGCACTGCAACAACAAAATGTGGGAAGGACACCGTTTAGCCCCTGATAAGAAGGAATGTGAAGGAAGTGTAGGAGGGCACCAGTCTCTTTATGCATGAGAACTAATTTGTTGAATTTTTATAGAAAACGATTTCCCTTGCCCAGGTTGAGATAGGATAAACTGAAGCTTCAGTTGTGTGTTACCATGTGCAAGTTTTGCCATCACCCACCAAACTTTACTTCTGGATATCCCTAGTGTTTTAGTGATTTTTTTTTCATTGTACCCCTCATAGACCAAAAGAAACATTATTTTACTTAGTTCTGAATAACTTACAGAACATTTAGTCCTTCACAGCTTAGTAGCTATTTGGGGGGTGAGGGGGAAGTAAAGCCTAAAACCTGGAAGAAAAAAGAACGTTTCAAATTTTATTTTATTTTTTAAGTAAGTACAGTAGCTGTGAATGAGATTTGTGTCCCTGCGGGGCACCACACTGAGTAATGCAGATAGGCTGTATTCCAGATTACGTACAGTGAACCTTGTCTTCTACTGCATGCAGAGGCTCCTGTGGTCCTAGCAATAACACCTGTTCCCCCTCCCCCCCGCAAAGCAAGCAGTGGTATGATGTAGCTGAAAAGTATGCAGTACATCCTCAGGAAATCTTTCATGTTTTAGTATTATCTTGAAGTAGTTGTACAAAAAGGTTTCAGTTCAACGTTTTCGTTTATGATTATAAAGCATCTTGGTCAGTGTTAACCCTTTCGTTATTCTTCACCATCTCTCCCAACCTCACCTGGCCCTCGAGTTACCTGGTACCATTTCTACATGTGTGCATTGAATATTATGATACAGTCACCCATCCTCTCTCTGTCCGTTCATCTTCTCTTAAACCTTTGAGTATCTTCAGGTCAGTACCTCAGTACACAGCTTAGGGACCATGAAATTATGTTACTATTTACTAAATATTTGTCTATTATTAGCTTGCATTTAAATTTCTTTTATTGGGCTGGGATGTAGTTCAGTGGCAAAGTGCTTGCCTAGCAAGTACAATGTCCTGGGTTCAATTCCTAGTACCAAAAAAAAAAAAAAAGACAAGAAAATATACAGTTCAGTTTCTTTTCTTTTTCTTCCTATTATTGGCTAATCCTCATTTAAAATTTTTATTAAAAAGGGGCATCTTTGTAATATATTGCCTTATATTACATTTTATATATATGATGTAATATATTACATTATATAATGTAATTTAATCAAATTCACCTATTTTCTTTCATTTTTAAAATTAATTTATTTTATTATAAAGGTGATATATAGTGGGATTACAATTACATGAGTCAGTAATGAGTACATTTCCTTTCATACAGAGTCTTCTGTTCCCTCATTCTCTCCCAGTCCTTCCCTCCTGCCTCTACCCACCAGTCGTATAATTCACTTTCATCAGTGTCCAGTGAGCTCCACGGCTGCACGTTTTCACCCTTTACCCTCAAGTTCTGCATCCTCCCGCCCTTCTGAAGATACACACGTGAAATAAAGAAGGCAGAATTACAAAAAAAAGGAAATAAATATTAAATCTATCCCTTTTCTTCTTTTAATAGTGTTTGGTGGGTTTCATTTAGCTATTTCCATATATATTCTAGAGTATTCTAGAATATTGACCCTACATCCTGTCCCATTCCTCACATTTGATGTCTTTCTTGCCTCCTAAGAGCTGCTGTTTTACATTCATGAATGTATTATTATTATCATCATTTTTATTTTAGATCTAGATTTTACATATGAAAACGTGACATATGTCATTCTGAGCATGTATTGTCTCACTCAGTATGATTATATCCAGTTCTATTCATTTTCCTGCAAAAAGCATCCTTCATGGCTAAATACTTCATTTGTGTGTGTGTGTGTGTGTGTGTGTGTATGTGTGTGTAGCACATTGTGTCATATTGAAAAGAAGATCAGCATCCAGAAAACATATAACAAATGTTAATGATGTTGCAGAGGAAAAGGTACCTTGTCTATACTCTTGGAAGGGATGTAAATTACTCAGGCCACTATGGAAATCAGTATGGAAGTTCCGCAGGAAACTTAACAGTAGAACTACCAGATGATCCTGTGTCACACTCTTAGACATATGGCCAAAAAAGTGTAAATCAGTGTATTAGATACCTGCACACTCGTGTTTATAGCAGCTTATCCTCATTTTGAACATGTGGCAGTCTCTATTTTTAATACATATGACCTGTATACCTAAAAAGCCAACTCACATGCTACCAGTTGTGTTGACACTGTACTTGGGAAAGAATGGAGGTCATTAATGTTCAAAAGCAACACAAGCCTACTTTAAGAATTTATTGCTGTCCCTCTGTCTAATTTTAATAGTTTTTTTTTTTTAAGGAATTAGATTTAGGTTCCTAGTAGCTCTGAGTGAAAGCCCCACAGTTCCCACATTCACCCTTACCTCCTTCCACGCATGCCTGGCTCCCCCTTTACCAGCCTGCCCCCACCAGAGTGGCATATTTCTGAGAAGTGATGAGCCTGCCATGACATTCATTATCCTCTCCCATCCTTAATTTATATTCCTCTCGGCACTGTGCGTTCTGTGGGTTTGGGCAAACATCTACCAACACATGCCCACCCACCACGAATAGGACAGTTTCAGTACCCTAACCCTCGTTTGCGCTTTACCTATTGCCCTGTCTGACTTCGACTTCTCTTGCAGGAGCTGGAAATGCAGGCTCGAGCCCACGGACTTTCCCTAATTCCGTCCACCGGCCTCTGCTCTCCTGATTTGGTGAATCGGATCATCAAGCAAGAACCAGTTCTGGAGAACTGCAGCCAGGATCTCCTGCAGCACCAGGCCGAGCTGACTTGCACCACCACCCTTGATCTCACCGACGGCACCATCACCTTCAACAGCAGCCTGGGGACTGGGCCTGACAGCAACCCCGCCTACAGCGTCCCCACAAAGATGGGATCCAAACTGGAAGACATCCTGATGGACGACACCCTCTCCCCCGTGGGCGTGACCGACCCGCTCCTCTCCTCCGTGTCCCCAGGAGCTTCCAAAGCCAGCAGCCGGAGGAGCAGTATGAGCATGGAAGAAACGGAGCACGCGTGTTAGCGCCACACCCCCTCCGACAGCATCACCGACAGCTCCTTTTCTCTCCATTAGTAGACTTCATAACTTAACCCGAAAGGGTTTTCTTGATAATTTTCCTTTAATATGAATTTTTTTCATGCTTTATCAATAGCCCAGGATATATTTTATTTTTTAGATTTTTGTGAAACAGACTTGTATATTCTATTTTACAGCTACAAATGCCTCCAAAGTATTGTACAGTAAAGTGCGCAGTATCTGTGAAACGAACTCTCCAGACAGGAGCTTTCTGAGCAAGAGGATTTTTGCATCAAAGAAGTATCTGTGTGCATTTTTTTTATTATTATTCAGGGGAAAACTTGGCTTGAGATTTTTATGCTTGTGACTTCTTTGGCAATTACATGTAAAGTTTAATTGAAAGAATGTAAAGCAGCCCCCACTCCCACCCCTCCATAAAAATATAAAGAAGAAAAAGAGGAGAAGAAGAAAAAGAGGAAAAGACACCCATACTAACCTTTTTCCAGTTTATAAATGTATTGATTCATTGGTACTGCCTTAAAGACACAGTGCCATTCATTCTAGTATCATTTAGTCTTTATATTGCAAAGTATTTAACAAAATAGTATATATTGTGTAAGACAAAAAAAATCACTCATTTTCATGAGGGTTGTCTGGTTAGAATATGTAACTGATACTAACCAAAATTGAAAGGAGCTAGTCCAAGGCTCTGAAGATTAGACCTGGGGTCCAGTCTTCCTTTTATGTGGTACAGGTACAGTTCTCTTCTTTAATGAGTGTGATCCGATTTTTTCATAAGATGTATTTTATTTTGAAGTGGAAGGGAATGTCCTCTCAAAGTAAAATACTGAGGAGCACTGAAAGTTACCCTTTTTTTTCAATTTCATTTTTCTTGCTTTTTGATAAGACAACTGGGCATATTTCTAATTGGCTTTACTGTTTTTATTTTTAAATTCTGTTTCAGTCATCTGATTTGTACAGATTCTTTATTATCATCTTTCTTTTCAGTGTTTGTATTAATTTGTAAGAATTTGCATCTTAAAATAGCAAGTTTTCAATATTTTTTACAGCTCATTGGTGGTTTTCTGCATTCTTTGTACACCCAAGAAAGAAAACTTTTCTGCAAGGTCTTGCATTTAAAGCAAGCTTTGCAAATATTTTGTACATTACAATCTCACTCAAATACTGTTTTTCAGTACACTTAAGATGTAGTATTAATAGGTTTAAACCAGGCTTTCTAGAAAAAAAATACACTTACATATTTATTTTTAGGATATGAAAATAGCAATATTCTTGGAAACTGATAACCACCATAGAGATGCTACATCCATTATGGCCATTTAAATTGGGATTTATTGCAACAAACTTGCTGGATTTTTTTTTCCTAAGAGAGAGAGAAAAAATACTATATTGGCAAATCACTGTTACTTGTTAACAAGTTTCTTAACAAGCAGACATGTTGTAAAGTTAGTTTTGGTGCATTATCTACTTGTGTAGTCCTATGCAATAACAGTAGTGTTACAGATATCAAGCCTAGATGTTATACGGACAACTTATAGTGTTATAAGCCAGGCTGTTGGATGGATTTCACAGCAGCAGCCTACGATTGAATAGTGAGTGGCATAAAGCATATCCATTCAGAATGAAGTGCCTTAAACGTAGCAGTAGTCTCTTTTGGCCTAGCACTGACTGAACTATAAAGTCAGAGAAAGTCAGATGATGGTGTCCATAGTGAAAGGAACATGTAGCATGGTGCCTATGTAGACAATATAAGAGCTTCCAATTTTTCCTCCAGATATTTTTAATATGAAATATATTTTAGTGACAGAGTGCCAACTTCTTTCATCAGAAAACCTTATTCAGGAGGGTTTTTTTTTAAGTGTTTAAATGTCAAATGTGAATTGGTGATGAATGATGAAAGGGCTTGAGAGAAGCGATTGTCAGATGTCTGAATGGATGGCCTAGGTGAAAATAATCAAGTGCATAGATCCCATGCACGTCGGGCAATTGAGTATCCTTGGAAACATTGATGATGCTTTCAGTTTTATAGCTTTATTACTTAAGGGGGTAGGGAAAATAACTTCCCATTCTTTCAACCCCCTTAGTTGTATAGCTCTTTTCTTAGACTAGAAATGCAAATCTGCATGAACAGCTAATTGTACCATAGTGTTCATTGATACAATCATAGCATTGTCTATTTTTCTCTTCATATTTATATGGGGGAGAGGGGACTGGATACCCAAGTTGAAGATGGCAATACTATGGTGGTAGTTTTCCTTAGCTGATTTTGAAAGGTTTTTAAGAATAGAGCAAAGTTTCACAAAGTTGACTAACCCATGGCCCATGCTCCACCATAGGTGGAGCAATTGTATGTTCTGAAAGCTTTGTGGAGGAAGGTATGGCATTTTTTTACCACTGCCCTGAGTCTTGCAGCCTCTAAGCTTGCCATCACCTGCTTTCCTGTCTTTAGCCTCTTAAGAGACACCTGTTGGGCCAGGCAGATGAGCAAGGACAGGAAGGATGCAACCTTGGGGGTGGTTTTATTTATTTCTTTTTTGCCAAACAGTGTGTGGATTTGATTTGGGGACTAGTTGAGCCAAGAGGCAGTGACTTGAGCTTGTTTTTAACAAGGGAAGGATCCTGACCTCTCCCCTAATCCCTGGGTGCAGAATTGTAACTCAGGGTTGGGCCTCCCCTTTGGAGTGACCAAAATACCAAAATATTTCACCTGCCTCTAGGTAAGGCAATGGAACAAACCAAACTTTCTGACTTTGCCAAATACAAACTGTACAACCAACCTGGTCTTATCTAGAGGATGACAAAGTTCTTTCTGGTTGTTTTTTAAACAATAAAGCAATAAGAACAAATAAGATACATAGGATGTTAAAAGATACACAATAAAGCACAAAGGAATGCACTTATTAATACTTTGGAAAAATGCACTGGGGAAAAGTTGACGTTGCTAACAGTATAACAAACCCTGTTTCTTGATAAAAAAATGACAAATGACTGTCTCTTCTGGACACTTGGTACTGTAATATTAACAATACTCACCGGCTGCTGGAAGCAGCAATAATTTCTGTATGGTCCATAGCACTGTATATTATGGATTGATATTAATGTATCCAATGAATAATGGAACTGTTGTTCTCCATAGCCTCATTAAAGAATTTGGTTTTTCACATGGTGGTGGCCAGTTGTATTGAGTTCACATGAATTTTGAATGATGTTTTGCCTTTATTTTTAAGAAGTAGTGCACATTTTTCCTTTGATATAATGAATAGCAAATTGCATGTTTGTTTATTCATCTATTTATTGTGGTGGTGGTGGTGGTGGTGGTGTGTTTTGTTTCATTTTGGTTCAGTCTTAGAGTTTGAGCAAAGTCCCTGGGCACTGTCCCTGAGCTTTTTTGTTCAAGGCTAGTACTCTATCGCTTAAGCCACAGCTTCCTGCTTTTTGCTGGTTCATTAGAGATAAGAGTCTCACAGAATTTACTGAACAGGATGGCTTTGAACTCCAGCCTTTTGGATTTCAGCCTCCTGAGTAGCTAAGGGTACAGGCATGAGCCACTGGCACCCAGCTGCATGAATTTTTTTAAAAGGCCACCAGTGATATTTTTTTGTTTTAAATGCCAGTCTTAAGATGTTACTTTTTGCTGAGGAACATTTTTTCATTACTTTATGACGTGCACTGAAATGAACTATAATTATGCAGCTTTTCCCCTGCTCTGAATTTGGGGAGATTTTGAACTCCCAAATGTCAAGAATCCATTTTAGATATAAGAGTTTTATTTAAAATGTTTCAGTGAGGGGTGGCTTTACAAAAAGAGAAATTGTCAGAGAAATCCTTGCATATTTACAGAAAAGATATTGGGTTTTTAAAATACAAATTTACAATAATGAAGGCTTAATATACCCAGCCTGCCAGCTCCTAGCTTTTTTTTTTAAATACAGTACTTAAGACTCATTTGATAAATGTTGGATTTGAATTGGGATGTGTCAGACAAAACATGCCTTTATTCCCTAGCTAGACCTTAAACTTCTGCCCTTTAAAAAAAAAATATATTCTGGCTTAACCTCTGGAGAGAGCGAGCAAGAAACTTCCTGTAATGCTTCTAATCTGTCAACTTTTTCTGAAGTTTAATTTTTTTCTTAAATTATAATATACCATAATTGAGGCCTTTCTTTTTCAGAGTTATTTGAATTATTTATATTTCCCATAGAAATATGACTGTGAAGTCTTAAAATCATGTAAAGACTAGGAAGATTTCCTACCCGAACAAGAGAATTTTTCTGGCAAAAGTAAAAGCAGGTAAGCTTTTCATCTTACAAGGGATATGCAGTTATACCTTACCATACATGTCTGCCTGTTGTTTGCTTGGTGACAACCAGCTTGATAGCACTCATAGAACAGGAGTGACTTTATTTCAAACCTATAGATACACAATAAAGTTTTTATTAAAAGACAATAAATTTTTCCAAAACTATATCCAATTGGGCTCAATAGTATATAGCAGCTACTTAGGTGGCTAAGACAGGAGGATTATAAGTTCAAAGGTAGCCTGGGCATCATAGTAAGACCCTAGCATGTATCTTCTTAGAGGGACAGACAGACAGACAAATAGACAGATAGATAAGTAGGTATAGACAGAGATCTAGAAAATTATTAAGAATGGACCTTTCCTGGGATTGAATCTTTGCCCGATTTATGTAACCTCCCTAAACCCTAATTTTCATTCTTTTATTGAAGATAAAAATAACTGCATCACACAGTAGTCTTTTAAAGACCAGTCAAGGTAAAATAGTAGCATTTTCACTTGGCAGCTCATAGGAATTTCTCAGTAAGTGGTAGATATTTTTATATTATCATCACAATCACCTTAATGATTGAAATAGGAAACAAAATCCACTCAGTTTCCTAACGTCATGCCGTCAGCAGTGGCCTGTATAGCACATTTGGAGAAACACCATATTATAGTTCTAAGATTTGTGTGAGAACTAGTGATGTAGCCGCAACTGGCATGCAGAGAGCCCTAGGTTCAATACCCAGTACCACAAATAATAATGATAATATTTGTGTGAATTGGCAAAGTAATAGGATTCACTTTTCTACTCTGGAGAAGAGGACTTTGCTTTCTTTTGAGATGCAGAGGGTTAGAATATTTTAGACAGTAATACATTTATCACACTCAAAAAACATATCCTTAACACTAATGACAATCACAACCCATTGTACTCTACAGATGTTCTTTTTGCCATGAGGATCATTATCCTACATTATTATTTCAGAAAAAGTATTTTTTGTGACATCTCTCTTCTTTGCCGAGTTAAGCTCTAGAATCCTTTGTGATATACCAGGACACTATGCAGCTACGTATGATATTTTAACTATGTTGTGTCTGTTCACTCTCTTGTTCACATGGAAATGTTTTCCAGGGTGTTTTCTCCATTTCCACTTTAAGTTCAATGTCTTCTTAGAAGCAGGAGCTTAAGAGTGAACCTTCCTAATGCAGTCAACAGGAATGTACCTTTAACATTACCTCGCTTTTATTGTTTTGTTTACACCAAGAATTATGCATGGCCAAGTCATGTGAGGGAAGCCTCTTTAAGAAGAGTGATG